AGGTTCCAAGCTTGATCAAAGGCTTCCACGACAGCTGGCTTTAGGGGCCCTTCCTCAGTTGCATCCAAGTTCTCCTCCAGCTGCTTCAAGCTGGACATGCCCAGGATGACCGCGTCCCCAAGGGCAGTCTGGAAGGGGAGATGGTCAGACTTGAACACATTTCTGCTGACAAGTTGCTTTACTCACCTACCTCTCCCTGCTGTGCCTCTCCAAGATTGGGGATCTGTGTTTTTAATTTAAGCCTATATTATTTCAGCAAGAATTTGTAACCTGTAATCCATATATTCAGAAGGCAGAGATCAGGAGGATGGCAGTTCAAGCCAGCCTGGGAAAATAGTAGACCTTACCTGGAAAAAACCCATCACAAAAAAAAAAGGCTGGTGGAGTGGTACAAGTGGTAGAGTGTTTGTCTAGCAAGTGTAAGGCCCTGAGTTCAAACTCCAGTAGAGCAAAAAAAAAAAACGATATTGCCTCTGAAGACTGGTATTGACAGAGCCTGTTGCAAACCTGTGTGGTCAGGTGACCTCTCAGCTGCCAGCTGCTGCTTTTCCTTTGCAGGTTGGTTGTGGGAATTACAGATCTTGGGAAGTACTCCAGCCTGGAACTTACCAAATGCTCACTGAAGGGGACCCATTACCATAGAAAGCCCATGCTGGATAAAGGGGTGAGAGAAATTAACCAGGAGCAGGAGGGAGAGAGAAGAGCCCCAAGTGCACAGTGGGTTCTGTATTCCAGGCAGACAAGAACAGATGCAATAAATGCAAATGTTTGAAAAAAATGTAGGTTTCAGAGTCAAATCAATATTCCCCTCCACATGGAGCTGAGAGACTAGCCAGGTGAACTGGCTTCTCTGAGCCAGGTTTCCTGTATAAAAATTAGGATGATCATGCTTTTCTAACATATATCTATACATTTAAGTTATTTTGATTAGATAATATATTTTCATATAAAAAAATCAAAGGATAGAAGTCTAACTTCCACCTGTTCTCTCTGTTGTTTCCCTTTCTAGAAGCAATAATGTAATCAATATTAGCAAATATGTGTAATTTTTTTTTGTACTTGAGAAAAAAATTGCTGTTTAGCTCACACTGGCCTTGAACCCATGATTCTCCTGCTTCTGACTCCCCTAGTGCTGGGATTACAGGGATGCCCCACCTCCCCTTGCAATTCTTATTTTTTTTAATCTTAATTTTTTTGGGGGGGGGTTGAACTCAGGGACTTAAGCTTGCTAGAGATTGCCACACTTAATAGGGCCATTGTAAGAAAGTGTTTGTAACCAGGCACCTCAGACTTCTCGAAGAACAACAGGATTTCTACCCAAAAGAGCTGGGCCACAGAAACACTTGAGAGGAAGGAAAGAAGGAAAGAAGTCATCACAGAAGTAACCAAATGGCCCTGGAGACCTCAAGGACCCGATTTCCCCCTTCTCCCCAGCACACAGTGATGCTGGCCTACCTGGAGCTGGGAGTGGTGGTACATCCACCTCAGGGCAGCCGACGTCATGCTGGGAGCACTGCTGCCATAGCTGGCCTGCAAGGCCTTCTCCACAAGGGCAATGGCCTTGAAGTGATCCTCCTTCCAGTACCTGAGCAGGTGGGAGGATGGAAGGGGGTCAGCACTGAGGGGCCTGGATCCACAGATGGGGGCTGAGCAGTCCAGGCATCAGACACATACAAATTTCTAGGTCCCTCACACACCAGATACTGTTTTTAGTCTCTGGTAAAGGAAGGATGCAGGAGACAAGAACTGTAGCATCTCAGTTGTACTACCAACACAACTCCCTAAGTCAGGACTCTTGAGCTTCTTTAGCACCACACCTGGGTGCCCTGAGTTACAGAAAGACCAGTGACGAGTCCTGGCTCCAGGCCAGCTTCTGTGGCCTTGGCTGAGCTACTCTCTGCTCCGCCCTCACTGATCACCTCAGGGAGGTAAGGAAATGCTCCCCACCTGTCCCATACTGCAACCATAGCAGGTGAGAATCTGGTCATGCTTCCTGGACTGCAGTAGGTAAATGGCAAAGACCTCCAGGCCCTGATTCCCCAGGGAAGAGGCCTGGGCCCTGGCAGTGTGCAAAAAAACATTGGTCAGGGCAAGGGTTCCTAATGCCAGCTGGAAGCATAGAAACCCTTGGGGTGGAGGGATGCACATAAGAGAGTTTGGGGTTTCAGTTTTTCTTTGTAGAGCTGGGGATGTAATCCAAGGCCATATGCATGCTGGGCACGTGCTCTACCACTGAGCTACACCCCAGGCAGATAAAACTTTAAATCACAGCAATACACACAAGGGGCCTGCAAATATCAGATGCTCCCCACTTACGTCCTTGGCCATTGCAACAAAACTAGCAGTGGAGTCTCCTGCAGGAAGCATGGCTTGGGATAGAAACCCTTCCCTCCCAGGGAGAGAAAACAAAAGGCAAATAGGTCACACTGTCACAGAAACAACCTTGCAGGCCTCTACAAATCTAGAAACATGAGCTCTCCTGAAATCCATAGGAGATGTCTAAATTTGATGTGTGAAAGAATGGCAACCTAGTGAATACTTAAGAGACATCACAGTAAGTGCCTGAGGGAAAAGAAGCTGTAAGAGTTTCCAAAGTTGCCACTGAAGAATGTCCTAGGTATAGGACATGGTTGGGCACACCTGTAGTCCCAGCACTTGGGAGGCTGAAACAGGATGATCAAGAGTTTGAAGCCAGCCAGAGATACAGAGGCCCCCCCATCTCATAAAAACAAAAGACAATGACAACAAAATAAGGAGTGGGGGTAGAAAAGGAATTGCTTCTAACCATGAGCATGTGGTATGGCTGATCCATTTTTCAAAATTTATTTAATGATTTTGGGTTTTTTTGGCAGTTCTAGGGATTGAACCCAGGGTCTCCAGAAAGCGAGGCAAGCACTATACCAGTGATCTACATCCCCAGGCCAAATGTTTCAACATATGAAAGTGGAGAAAAGAAAAGGAAGGGAAGAAGTTTGTCTCCACCAGATGAGACACTGATGACAGTTTTACTGCCAAGAGTTCACAGACTTAGACTCATTGGGCCCCAGGTGTCAGCACAAATACCCAGGTTCCTCCAAGGCATGCAAGAATTGTGACATCCATTGGGCAGTGGGGCATCTTCCCAGAGGAGAAACATAGTGCTAAAACAGAGCAGAAGGCCAGGGATCTTCTGGCCCTGGAGCCCTCCCCAGAGAATCATGACAACCAAGGAGGGAACTGGGAGGGTCAAGGCACCCAAGTCACAGCACCAAGGAAGGGAATGCAGTCTCAAGGATTTACGACCTCAAAGTAAAGGACCCACGCCACTTCCCACCCAGACACAGCCCCTACCCCTGCTCACCGATTTCTGTAGATCTCAGCCCAACTGAAACCAAAGAAGCGGCCTGCAGGCTGTTTGCCATCCTTGTCCTCATACTTGTACCTGCCAGTCAGCAGGCCTCCTGCAGGAAGGATGAAATCAGACCCCTGGCCCAGACTCCTCCCAGAAGATGCTGGATCACTCACAGCTCTAGATGGGGGAACCCAATCCAAAAGGGATGGGGACACAGCCCAGCCTCTTCACAAAGCCTTCCTGCTTCCCTGGGCCAAGGCTGGGCATCAGGGTAGGAATAGGGAGAGACTACGCAGGAATGCCCACCCAGCACAGAAGGGTTTTCCCATGCAGCTCATACCAGCCAAGGGGTTGAAAGCATAGAACCGCAATCCAAAGTGCCTGAGGCAGGGGAAGAGCTCAGCTTCCACCTGCCGGGTGGTGGCGTTGTACATGCCCTGCAGGGAGAGGGGTAGGTGGAGAGGGTGGACAGGTCAAGGGAAGGGAACCCCAGTGTACCTTGTCAAAGTTCAGACTTTGCAATTCTAGGACCCTAACAATCAAGGCATGCATCTAGTGGTGGTGGTGGAGGGGGCTTAAACCAAGGAACATTTATTCCTTCAGCCCAGACTCAGGAGAACCGACTCCCCACTGCATGACAGACTCAGAAGCAGAAGGCAAAAGGACACTTTGGACTTTCTCCAGGACATTTCAGTAAGGTAGAGTGTAAACGGGTGGAAATAATGAAGAGGCGCTTATAGTGCACTAGGAACCTCTGTGGCCAGTGCCTGGCACTAATCAGGTGTACAAACATTCATTGAGTGAATGGGGAGGAGGGGGTAAAGCAGAAACTGAAATCTCAGGCTCCTGGGGCAGAGGGAAGAGGAGCTCCCTGGGAAGGGCCACTTCAGGGAGACCTGAGCACTTCTCCCAGGGAGGGCAATGAATGTTCCAGGCTGAAGGGCAGAGCAGAGCAGGGAAGGAAGGGACCAAGGTGTGTGTGTACTCGGACAGGAAGGGAGCAGGTGCCTGGAGGCCAGGCTGAGGGACTTGGATATCATACTGAGGGATCCTGAGAGCCATCCACAGGCTTTGATCAGGGGAGTGGCTGCTATGTAGAGGGCCCAGGGGCAGTTCAAAGAGAACCCAGAATCAGCAGAATCTTAGTGCCTGAGGTCAGGGCTGTCCTGGCACACCAGGTACTGCTCACCTGGTACACGGTGGGCATGATCCAGCCGTTGTTCTTGCAGAGGGTGCAGATCTCAGCCACCTCCCAAGAGGAATAGTTGGAGAGGCCAAGCTCCACAAACTTGCCCTGCAGGGGAGAGGCTTGGTGTCAGCCCAGCACAGCCCAGGAGACCAGGAAGGGGATACTGGAGTGGGCTCTGTGCCATCTGTGCTCTGGGTGCCCTGGTGCCTCACTTTCCTGGTAGTGTCAAGATGAGAACAGGAACACACAGACCACCTCCCTCCCAGAGCTCAGGGGGCCACCCTCACCTCCTGGTGTAGCTGGTTGCAGGCACGTAGAGTCTCTTCCACAGACGTGTCATGGTCAGGCATGTGTAAGTAGAAGAGGTCCACTCGGGGACACTGCAGTCGTTTCAATGATGTCTCCAGTTGGAACCGGAGACTGTCAGGCTTCAAGGAGTTCCCAGCCAATGGGTTGGCCTTGGTGGCAATTTTCACTTTTTGGAGCGAGAAATGGAAAGTCAGGACACTTTACCAACCATCAGGCAGGGCATCTAATACAATGGGTAAGAGACAGACGTGGGTTCAAGTCCTAGGTGTGAATTACTAGTTTGCTGCCTTGACTAAGTTACCAAACCTGTCTGAGATTCAGTGTTTTCAGTTGTAAATAAGAGAATGCAAATCCCTTATAATGGAATCCTGAGGACTTTCTTTTCTTTTTTGTATTTCTGGGAATTGAACTCAGAGCCTTGGGTTTCCTAGGCAAACACTCTCCCATTTGAGCCACAACCAAAGTCCTTTTTAGTCTTTAGTTGTTTTTTGCTGTTGTTTGTTTTGTTTTTTTCTTCTTCTTTCAGATAGGGTCTCATGCTTTGGCCGCGACTAGCTGAGGACTGTGATCTTCCTACCTCTGCCTCCAGAGTAGCTGGGATTATAGGCTTTTGCCACCACACACCCTGAAATTCCATAAAGATCATGGAAAGTGGTCTTTGTAAGCCAATATTATCTTCAATATTACATTCATGTATGGGCAACTAGAAGTGCCAGGATGTGCCAGGCCTGGCACCTGGGCTGATAGAGGCAGAAGCTCCCTGTCCTCAAAGACTTGAAGTCTTATCTCACAATTTGTTTTTTTGGTGGTACTGGGGTTTGAATTCAGGCCCTCACGCCTCCTAAGCAGGCGCTCTAAAGCTTCAGCCACTTTACCAGTCCAAGGACTTGAAGTCTAATGAGCCATACTAGAGAAAGAAAGTCAGGGAAATGCACAGGTGCCACAAGAGCCTGGAGCAGAGGAGTGGGAGGCTGCCTGGGAGCTCAAAAGACTTTCTTGAGAACCTCACTATGAATGTCTGAGGCAGGTTTTAGGCACCAGTTGAGAGGATAGGTGGAAACCCTCATTCTAGAGGAAAAACATAGGCTTTAAAAACTCAGCAGCAAGAATGCCCTGGGTGGGAGCCATGCCTGTTAGTCCATTATCAGAGCACCAGGTGTGGGGTGGAGGCCACAGGGCAAGAGAAAGGGCCTCAGATAGATGCCAAAGGGCCCTGAGCACCCCATGGAATATGGACTTCAGGGGACTCTAGGGAGCCTCTGAGCACTTTGAATCTGGGAACACCATCGTCAACTTTGTAGTTTTGAAAGATGTTTTGAGTGCAATGTGGATGAAGGGCAGGTCTGGAAAGAGGGAGAACAGTGAGGAGCGTGCAGCAAGAATTGGGGAAAGAGACTGGGGTGGCCTGAAAGGGACCTCTGAGAAGGAAAAAGGTAGGGATCAAATAGTGACTTTGCCCATGAAGAAGGCCAGCAGATGGCCATCCATATGAGTCCATACTTTTCTCCCTGCACCTGTTTGAGAATCCTTGTTGATTAGATGGATGGGTGAGAGGTGTTACCTCTTCTACCTTTCCACACTTAGGAAGTCACTTGTGTGGCCTGAGGGATGTAACTGTGGCAGGATAGATCAGGGGAAATGAGGCATGGAAAACAGGAGCCAAGAATTCAAAGATAAACACTGTATTAATAAATAGCTTGATTAAAAGCACTCAGGCACTATTTGCTTTAAGATTTACACTCCCCCCTCAATAACCTGCAACATTTAGTAAAAAGAAAAAGGAGAAAAAAGAAGCCCTCTTCCTCTGACCTGGCTGCTTGTCCAAATAATTAGTGCACTCTGAGAACTGAGCAAAGATATCTTAGAGAAAGATGCTTTTCCTTGGGGAAAAAAAAATGCTTGAGAAAAATGTGTCTTCGGGCACAAAAAATGTTTGGAAAGAAAAATATTTATCTTGAGGATGGACACCTATCTTGATGGGAGAATCTGGCAGAACCCATCCTTTGTTTAAAGGGATGCTCAAAAATCTATGTTATAATGACCCAAGTTTAACAAGTGGACCAACCTTGAAATCTCCGGGGCTAATTAATAAAACAGTGTAACAGCAGGAATGATTAAATGTTCCAGGTGTCCAGGATAAAGGAGGGCACTTATCTTAGAGTAAAGTTGAACTAAACCTTCAACTCAGTTTTTCACCATGTATACCACTGATGTTAGAGCACTCATGGCACCTCTTATCAGATGTGCCCACACCCATGTCTGGGCTGTACACTATCTTTCTATCTCTGCTTTGCTCTACTAATAAACTTTCTTGGTCTCTACCTAGATGTGTTCTAAAAATCTCTTTTTGCAACAACATCACAAACTCAGTACCCAAGAGCCAGGCGAGGGTATCTTTCCTTTTGGAGACCCCTCCCTGGAGCATCATCACTTCCAGTGACATAAGCACAGCCCTTGAGACCCAGAAGAGAGCAGGTTTGAGGAATTACACAGCACTAAGAACTCCACTACTTCCCCTCCTCCTTCTTGATAGGAACTTAACTTCAGATCTGAGATCTTCAGACTTTGGCCCTCTCCCCCTGGCCTCAAGGATGTAACAGAAGGAGAGGGTCAGGAAGAAAACCAATAACAACAAACAAACAAAAATCAGAAATAAGATCCGTGTCCTTACTGGAGGCAGCAGAGGATCTAGAAAGATTATGGAACAGATCCTTTTGTTCCAGCTACAAGGCTGTGAGCAGGACTTCACTGGCTGGAGTAGGGAGTGCAGGGTATGGGTGGGTGGGAAAAAGCCACAGAGTGGAAGAGAGCAAAGGGTACTGCTAAGAACAAAGTTGGGCTGGGGTGGAGGGGTGGGGTGGCTTAAGTGACAAGCACTGGCCTAGCAAGCTCCAGGCCCTGAATGTAAATCCCAGTAATTCCAAAAACAACAAAGAAACTAGCTTGTTCTAATGATGGGCGCCTATAGGCCCAGTATTTTTTTCTTTTTTTTTTTTTTTTCAGTACTGGGGTTTGAACTCAGGGCCTACACCTTGAGTCACTCCACCAGCCCTTTTTTGTGTTGTATTTTTTTCCAAATAGTGACTCATGAACCATCTGCCCAGGCTGACTTTGAACTGCAATCCTCCTGGTCTCTGTGTCCTGAGTAGCTAGGATGACAGGTGTGAGCCACCCACACCCAGCAAGGCCCAATGTTTCTGAGCCTCACTTGGTGCCTACAAAGACTTCAAATGGCATCAGACCACTGAGGGACGCTCCTCTGCCCCCACACACCGTCCTCTCCAACTCCTTGGTATTGTCTTTGCCTACCCACACCCCCTGCACCCAAATGTACTTTCCTCCCTGCTTCAATCTTACACACTCCTGATTTTTCTTTCTTCCTTCCTTCCTTCCCTCCCTCCCTCCTTCCTTCCTTTCTTTCTATTTTTTGGACCTAACTTTGCCCAGGCTGGCCTTGACCTCAGGATACTCTGCACTTGTTCTCCTATCCCTTCTTTTAGCTCCCTTTGGTGGCAGCTTTCTTCAGTGGTTCTCTCTTAAGAAGTGCTCTCTTTCAACTTCCAGCCAGCTTCAGAGTCCCACCTTCCTGGTGTGAGTAGTGTCAATTTCTCTCTTCCATCCTCAGACACAGCCTTGGTACAGAGAAGGCAGGTGCATGACTCCCCTGTCCCTATCCCCTTTAGGGGGTCATTACAGCTACCAGGACTGCCACCCTGGAGAAGCACCAACCACTGCCAAACCAATAGGCACTGGGAGCCACCAGAACAAGGTCTAGGGCCCTGAGCAAGGCTGGCATAAGCAAAGGAGGAGCAGATCTGCTGCTGGTCCATGGTCCAAAGGGCAATCTAGGGCTGTGCCCAGGAATGCTGGGGAAGTAACCACAGGACTGGAGCACATGAGGCGCTGCGTGCACACCTACCAGTCAGAGAGGAGGAGCTGACTTTGACAGATTCCCAACCTGGTCAGTGCCCCACCAAGGAGCAGCCACGTGGTTCCAGGCTAGATCAGGGTTGGGGCATCGCTGTGGGGACAGTACTAAGAAGGAGGGGTAAAGGAGTCAGGAAAAAGCCCTTTCCAGTTGTCCGATGCTAGACGGGCCTGAGCAGGTTGGGGTTCACAGAGCTCTGGGGAAGGCAGGGAGAGGCCAGCGCCCCGAGAAAGGAGCTAAGATGTGCTGGGGAGGGGTCCGCTGTGCAGGGCGCTGGGAGGTCAGGGGCTGGAGTTACCTTTGCAGCCACTGCGACCCAGCCCGAGCCCCATGCCGCCCAGGAGGGTCTCGGACTGGCCGTCGGTGTACACGAAGGCCGTGTCAATCTCGGTGTGGCCGCGGTCCACAAAGGCGCGCACGGCCGCGGCGCTGGCCGACGCGTCCATGCTGCTCCCCATCAACATAGCGCCCAGCACCGTGGCGGGCCGGGCCTGCGACGCCGGGCGGGACATGATGGCAGCGACTGAGGCGGGAGACGCTAACAATGTGGGGTCAGCACAGCAGTTCTCGGTGGAAACTGAAGTTGGAGCTTTAAAATGTCGTCTAGGTCACGCCCATTTGGGGCAGGGCAAGCGGAGAGAGCGCAGAGAGGTGCGGCTGGGCGCGCGCGGCTCGGGCTGAGCTGGGTCCTGCACTGGCACAGCTGGGTCCTGCACTGGCACTGGCTCTGCGCCACCCGCAGCGCGGCTGCGCCTTCCCGTGCGACCTTCGTTCTGCTGGAATGTGCCCACAGCTGAGCTGGGTGCAAAGGCAGCGCGCGAACCCAAAGGCCAAAGCCTGGAGATTCCTCTGGGCTCCCTGCCTTGTCGCCCCTCCTTTCTCAGCTTCGCTCAGAGCTGTCCTGGGGTCTCTGCGCCCCCCACCCAAGGACTTTACGGGTGGGTCACCCTAAGGCCTGCCCCGCCGGCAGTGCTGAGCCTTGCCAAGGGCTCCGCACAGCGTCCCTGTCAGCCTGACTTCCATCCATCCAGGGGACACAGCTTCCAAACCTGAGAGCCAAACACACACTTGGTTCAGAAGGCAAGGTGCAGAGAATTCACAGGTGGCAAACGTGCGCTGCAGGAAGTATTTGCAGAGGTTATCTAGGCAGAAGGGAATTTGAAGAAAAATGAGCGCTGGAAATAGTAAGCGTGGGGAAAACTAAAGAAGGTAATGGCGCGCTAGGACGCTCAGTGGCGAGTGCTTGTCTCGCATGCAGGAGGTCCTAGGCTCCATCCCAGCACCACCAAAGGGGGAGAAAAAGATAGCTGGGCCTTTATAAGTTTACCATGCCCTTCGCACATGACTCGGCGATCTGATTGCCGGGTATTTACCCAAGGGAAATGATAACGACTCGGCAATCATATTACTAGCTGTTTACTTAAGGGCAATGAAAGTGACTCAGCAATCCCACTCCTAGCTAGTTACGCCTGGGAAATGAAAACCTGTGTTCACAAGAATAGGTAGACACAAGTGTTTAGGAGGCTCAGCGGCTGCGGGGTTGTTCAGAGCGAGGACATTCCCGAGGGCCCCAAGCTGGCGCTGCGGGTGTGGACGCGAGCGGACAGCGCCTCCTGCGGTTCACCGGCCGCACCTGCCCTGCCGCGCCTCTGCTTGCAGCCCGCCCTGCAGCTCTGTACCTGGTTTCCAGCACCTCTTCCTCCCTGTTTAAGGTTTATGTCCATGTTTGACGCATAGCTGTTGCGCAGCCGTTGGTACCTGTAATGGGGAAACATAGCAAGAAGCTTACAGCCGCGGTAGTGAAAATTTTTTTCATGTCAGAGATTGAGAACTCTTGCAATTGTTTGTCATCCTTTCCTCTCCAGACAAAAGATAACAAGAAGTTGCAATCAGAAATCCGTTGGTCTTATTGATCAAGCCAGGAATAAGCCAAAATGTCAATGTCAACTGCTGTGTCAAATCAGTTCCATTGCAACAAGATGCCCCATCTGATTGCATGTCAGCACTAGGTAGCAGCTGCCACCACCACCTATCTCTACAACCACTTTGCTGCCACTTTCACTGTCCTTTTCTACTAATGGTAAAGGTGAAATTAGGAAAGAAAAGACCACTGAAGAGAGGCCTTTTATTGGGCCCAACATTGCAATCCCAGGGAGCAGCACAGAAGGAAGTATTCTGGCTGACCTCCAAAGAGAGCTGAGCACTCTACTTATATATCCACAAAGGGGGTATGACAGGGTATCTGCACCAATCATGGCACAGTCCCTCCTGTCGCCAGTTATGTCAGTCCCCTGTGCAAATGAGGGACTGGGATTACACCAGTCACAGGCCTTCTGCTGGGACACCAAGGGAAGCACTCCCCCTCTGGCCTGTAAAGTCATCTACAGTTAACACAGCCTGTGATGGCAAAAATTCAGTCCTGGGTCAGTGACTTCAGGAACCAGAGCAGGCATATTTGTCAGTTAGCGTCCTGCAGGCGTCTGAGTGTGAGGGGAGCAAACGTGAGGAGTGCAAATGGCAGAAATGGCTCTGGCAATAAATGGCAGAAATGACCCTGGGAATGTGAAGGGAACAAATGGCAAAAGTCACTTTGTCTTAGGTAAAGGAGATGGACAGGCATCCTTAAAAACGAACATCCAAGAAGACGTGAGAAGCAGGCTTCTCACCCACATAATGAAGTACAGCAGTCTTTCTCCTAGATAAGGGAGATAGAGAAGCATCTTTCTAGACAAACGTCTAAAGAGATGAAAAATCAGACCCCTTAAGGAAAGTAACACAGCATACTTTCCCAAGATAGCAAAAGGGGGGAGGTCTCACCAAGATAACAAGCAGTAGTCATAAAATGCATATGCTAGCCCTCAAGGACAGGATGCATTAACAAGGCCATCCTGGAATGTCCAGTCTGATAAGGATGGGGGGGGGCAACCAGCAACCAGATGGTTGGGCTCAGCAAGAAGTTAATTAGACATCCAATTACAAAGGTAACTTCAAAGTAGAGTAGGGGAAGCCTAAGTCAGGCGAGCCCTATATTACCCCTTAGACTTCAGCTATTCTTTGGCTTAGCCCTTTCAGTAAGCCCCGCCCACCAAGGTGTTTTGCTATCATTTAAATGAAATTTGTGCTTGCTTTAACTCTTAATTCCTGGTCCTGTGTCCTTAGTCATCTACTACACCAGGACATGGACTCGGGAACAATACTCCAGTAACATGATGAGTGTTCAAAGCAGTTGATGCTGTCATGAGGACAGGTCAGCTGGCTGCTTGGCTAATAATCCTTCACTCAAAGCAAACAACACCAGGCAAGGGTCATACAGCTGTCCAATAGGGAGTGAAATCACCCAGGCCCCCAACATCACAGCATATTTCAAGGGAAAATGAACATTACAAGAGGTGCTTGCAATTGAGGCTTATCACAACATAACAGTGGTTTAAAGAATTTAACAGTGCTCTAGCAATGCTTAACTCCTTCCCCAGTGCCCCAGGAGAGCTGTGTCCCTGCCATCTGTCTCAAACCTTGTACCGGAGATACTGGTTATCTCAATAAATTTTAGTGTATGAGATTAATGACAATTTCTGATATATCTACAATGCCATTGTCACAATAATAAAATTAACAATTCTTTCATATCATCAAAGAAGTATGGTACCAGGTCCATACTTACATATTGCTGATTGGTTTTGTGTTTTGAGACAGGGTCTGGCTCTGCTGTCCACCTGGTCTCAAACTCCTGTGCTCAAGTGATCCTTCTGCCTCATCCTCCCAGGTTCTGGTAGTATAGGCAGAGACCATTCTCCATTTTTTCTGATGAGAAATCTGCCCTCATTGCATTCATAGAGGTGAGATATCACTTTTCTCTCTATGGTCTTGAGATTTTCTTGTTTTTAGTTGCAGAAGTTTTAGTTTTGCATGACTGGGTTTTTAACCCAGGGCCGCAAACTTGCTAGGCAAGTGCTCTACCCTTTGAGTCATACCCCAGTCCATTTTCTTTCATTTGTTTTCAGATAAGGTATTGCATTAACTTTTTTTTTTTAATTTTTATTTTTTTACTATTCATATATGCATACAATGCTTGGGTCATTTCTCCCCCCTGCCCCCACCCCCTCCTTACCACCCACACCGCCCCCTCCCTCTCCCCACCACCCCCTCGATACCCTGCAGAAACTATTTTGCCCTTATCTCTAACTTTGTTGAAGAGAAAGTACAAGCAATAATAGGAAGGACTGCATTAACTTTCCCAAAGGTGGCCTCTAATAGTGATCTTCCTACTTCTGCCTCCCACGTAGCTAGATTTATAGTCATGCACCACCACACCCTGCTGATTTTTTTTTTTACTGAAAACTGGAAATTTTGGATACTGTTACAAGTGTCTATCTTATTTAAAACTCCTGTTTTCATGGTTTTCCTCTGACACAGTTTAGAGCTCCTTAACTGCCAGGTGGGAATAGGAATTCAGGCTCCCTATCAAGTCTCTGCTATCCCCTCCTGGTTAAGAGGGGTTGGAGGTCTCCTTGCTGATCTAGACATTGCCACAACTGATACCACAGACAGGCCCCTTTCACACTGGGTAGAAGCAAACATCCTCATTCTCCACTGGGCCTCCTCTGACACACTCCACATGTGGTTCCCGATGACACCAAATCTCAGACACCTCCTTATTGCCTGGTAAGAATGAACCAAAGCTCCCTACCCGGACTTCTCTAACACCACCCCATTACGACTTGGGTGGTTCCCTACAGCCTGGGAAGGTGGGAGGCCAAGGTTCTCCACTTAACACTTGCAGACACCAGCAGGTGTGAGGTCACAGTTAAGTTTATTTCTCTCTATTGTATATATCTTATATCTTTCCACCCGTTCATTAGTTCTTTCCGCTGCACATAGACGTTTTTTGGGTAATTTTTTTCACCATCTGTGTAAGGTGGCATTTTCAGGTTGTTAACAGCTTCCTTGGCTTCAAGTGTAGGATCTATGAGGCAAAAAGTGAACCTGGAAACTCACCCATGTGTCATTCCTTGGGTTCCGAGGTCCCTAGCTAGTTCAAATTCTCCTTTCCACCATCCAGGGCCTTCTTCTGCTGCTGTTGTACATAACATGCCCTGGGTGTAGTTGTACTTAGCAGCAGTAATAGGAAATTAGGGCTACTTCATCTTCATGACAGCAGAAGTGATTCTGGCATTTGCAAATCAACTTAAACAGCCCAGTGTGGTGACATCTGCCTGTCCAGTTAATGGGGAGGATCAGACAGGAGGATTGATTGACATCAGCTGTTCAAGGTCAGCTTAGGCAACACAGACTTTTCTTTAAAAATTCTGAAACATTGGCATTTGATGTGGCAAACCTCTGTAATCCTCATTCTGGGGATTCTGAGACTGGAAGACAGGAGGATTATGAGTACAAGGCTAGCGAGTACAAGGCTAGCAAATTCCAGGCAAGCCTGGGCTGCAGAGTGAGACTGTTTCTCAAAAAAAATTAATAATATACTTTGTATGTGATTGAGCAGTCACATTCTTAGATATGTACCAAAGGGAAATAAACACCTGTGTTCAAACATAGACTTGTATACATATGGGGAAAC